CATCCATCCATCCATCCATCCATCCATCCATCCATCCATCCATCCATCCATTCACCCACTCATCTAGCCATTGAATCTATTCATTAATTATTCTATCATTTCGACCCATCCCTTCATCTATCTCATCATCCATACATATTATCTTATGATGTCCCTTCCATTCCTTGCATCCAATCCATCCATTCATTCTCTTATCCTACTTCCCATTTTCCACCTAGGTACTCCTTGGTCTCCCATTTCTGCTCAACAAYCCCATTGCATATCTCGTGATGTCATTCAACCTTGGTCGTCAGTTCTTCTTTAARTGGACAGTCAACTGGCGGTTTCTGCCAGAATGGTTATTCTTGAACCKATATTTTCACATAACTCTGCTCCTGCTTCACCTAAGTGTTCTTTTATTATTTTACCTTTTCAAGTGGACCAGGTAYGAACAGAGAGATATGGCTGTCAAAGTCAACAAAGTTTTAACTTTTAAAATAATTGCTTATCCACTAATCCTTAGACCTTTTGGTACGATTAAAAGTCAACTCACAGAAAAGAATGTATTGTCTGTTTTCATGTATGTTATACAATAATATATTGGTCTATAGAGGAATACTAGAGGTATTTACTGGTAGGAGAGCAATGGAGATTATTTTGTCCCATATTTCCCAAAGGCAATACTAGCTCATCATCATTGTCATCATTATCATCATCGTCATCATCATCGTCATGGTCATTATCATTGTCATTGTTGTCATCATCATTGTGATCGTTATCATCATCACAATCATCATCATTGCCATCATCATCATTGTCATCATCATCATTGTTGTCATCATCATTGTGATCGTTATCATCGTCACAATCATCATCATTGCCATCATCATTATTGTCATCATCACCATCATCATCATGGTCATTATGGTTATCATCATCATCAGCAGCAGCAGCAGCGGCATCATCATCAGTCATCATCATCATCTCAAAATGCTAGGACTATTCTAGAAATCCCTGCTACTTCTTGGATAAACTATTTTATGTAGATATTCTTATTCTTGTGATATTTGCAGAAAGTCTGAAAGTCTTGTTGGATACTTCAAAAGACCATATCTACCACAGCGCTTGACRTCCCATAATATCCTTTAATGCCAATTATCTCCATGGAACCAACATGGGTGGGGGAGGGGGGAGCTAGGCCATTCCATTTTGGTCCTCCTCTAAATTCACCATAAATTTATACATAACCTTACACTATTTTAATATTTATAGCCTGTGTTCAGGCAGAAACATAAAACCATTTTCACATGTATGAGAGACTAGTCAGTCCAGAACAATAGCTATTCAAATTGGTAAGCATTTTCTTTATGAATTCAAGCATGATATATTATACCTTGACTTTGATTATAGCTTGTATTGGTTCTCTTTACCTCTAACTTCATAGGAATAGCGTTCTCTAGGTCATTACATTATCAGTTTTATGTCTGGTATTTCCACACATTACCCTATCTACTGTGGAACACAAGATTATGGAATTCTGTCAGGTAAGGATGGGCAGGTCGGCAGTCAGGCAGGTGTAGATGCACTTCCCTCTTGCAATGTCCATTTCCCTCCTCTTCTCAAACTAATTTTTTCTGAGGGGAGGGGAGAGTGCAGTTTGACACCAATAGACCTCCTTGGCTTGGGCGTAATGTTGTCCCATTTCAGACCATGTGTCATTCCCTAGAGTATCCTTTCTTTGTTTAATGGTTGAGCTTGGTTGCACATGAGAAGACACATGAATATGGATACAACTCCAACAAAGAACTTAATCCTCAAGGGAATGACACATGGTCTGAAATGGGACAACATTACACCCAAGCCGAGTAGGTCCATTCAAGTAAACTTAGGACTATACAGAAGTAGTTACACAGGGATTCCARTTTGACTAATAATACCATCCCTGCTTTACTATTCAGGATTCTTGTTCTAGGTTTGATAGAGCTGTGTTGGAACACCTATCCTTCGACAGTGTTATCRTCACTAACATTACATGCATGCCATGCAGTATTGCTGGCTGCTTTGTGGTATGCAGGAGTGGATGACAACGAGAAGAAAGATGASAAAAAGGCTTAGGACTTTCTTGTTTTATTGGTTCGGTTCGGTTAGGTGTTAGGTTCGGTTCTTGAAAAGTTTGATGTATGAACCGGGCCTTAGCAACGAAATGGGGGTATCTTATTCCATGGGTTAAGTAAAACCAAAACCACTCTAAATGTGTTCCTCCATCAAATGCACCCACTAAATCAATAAGTAGTAAATTATATTTTATTATACCAATAAGATGAATAGTTACTTTTATTAATCAAATAAATCTTGTAACGATGCTAAACTATCCCTGACATAAGTAGTTTTAAAACATTTCAAAATAAACTGCAATAAAAACGATTGCATGTGTTAGTAAGACCAAAGCTGGTTGTGTTTGTTGACAGGATAAGATTTCCTTTTATCTTTAAATAAAAATTTTAGGTCTGAAATCTTTTTGCATTTTAGTGTTTTAACTTTAACTCAAATTGAAATCTCATGAACTTCACTTTGAAAACTATACCTCGACTATTTACAATTATTGTGGTGGTACTCTACAGTTTTTCCTCTATACACATCAAAGAAAAGGAAAAAATATGTGATCATCTAACAGATAACTTTGTAATAGAGTGACC